TAACAAGGTTCTGCTTGATCATCTAATAAATCGTAATACTGATGTCCGTACACAATATGACAAGTCTCTCTCTTTCTCTGCGAGTCCTGTGATTATACGAAGATACGTCACTAACTCAGATATATCAATCATTTGTAAATATGTGATTGTGCTAGATCAGACCAATCATTGATTGTGCAACATGGAATCTGAGACTAACATAAAATTTTATGTTAGTCTCAGATGGAATACACTTCTCATTGAGAACATGGTGATTGTGCTACATCAAATACACCACCTATTGTGATTGTGCTCCATCAAGTACGCCACTCAGGTTGATTGTGCTAAATGAAATACATCACTCGCGAAGAACATTGTGATTGTGCTACATCAAATCACGGGCTTGAATGTCCATGATCAAATACATCTTTAGAACAGGGTGATTATGCAGCTTATGTTAGATCTCTAGATATCTCATGTTGATTGTGTTACACCAGGGACATTACTAATTACGTACAACAGTGTGATTATGCAAGATCAGATGCATCACTCAACAGGAACAATGTGACTGTGCTAGATCAAATATATCATTAATTACAACAAGTTGATTGTGCTATATCAGAAACATCACTAGATAAGAATGGGTTACCGTAATTGTGCTAAATCAGATGAATCACTCATTAAAAACATGCCAAACGTGCTAGATCAAATAGATTACGCATTAGATCAGTATCATTGTGTTAGATCAGATATCTTGTTCACTAAGTCTTAGAACAGGATGGTTGATTGTACTACCTTAGGAACATAGCTAATTAATGACAGTATGATTGTGCTACGTTAGATATGCTAGCCACTACATGTAACTACTCACTTGATTGTGGTAGATCAAAGTCACTACTCGCTAAAAATGGGTTGATCATTTTAGATTAAATTCACCACTAGCTAAAAACAGGTTGATAGTGCTAAATCAGAAACATCAAATGTTACAAACAGGTTAATTGTGATAGGTCAGATTCATTGTTCGCTCAAAATGGCTTGTGAAATATCATATTTATCACTTGCTAAAAATGGATTGATTGTGTAAGATCAGATTCATTGCCAACTAAAAATCAATTCAGAAATATCAGATATGTCATTCAGTAAAAATGGGTTGCTTGTGCTAGATCAGAATTTAGATTTGCTAAATATTTATTGATTTTGCTAAATCATATTCATCATTTGCTAAAAACTGTTGTGCTCGATCAGAAACCTCACTCATTAAAATGGGCTGATACATCACTCACTTATCAACATTGTGGTTTTTCTAGAACAGATACATCACTCACTAAAACAGGTTGATTGTGCTTGATCAGATACACATCTGACTAAAACAGGTTGATTGTGCTTGATCAGATACATCATTGACTAAAACATGTTGGTTGTGCTTGATCAGATACATCACTCACTTAAACATCACTGAATAATAAAACAGGTTGATTGTGCTTGATCAGATACACATCTGACTAAAACAGGTTGATTGTGCTTGAACAGATACACATCTGACTAAAACAGGTTGATTGTGCTTGATCAGATACATCATTGACTAAAACATGTCGGTTGTGCTTGATCAGATACATCACTCACTTAAACATCACTGAATAAAACAGGTTGATTGTGCTTGATCAGATACATCACTCACTTAAACATCACTGACTAAAACAGGTTGATTGTGCTTGATCAGATACATCACTCACTTAAACATCACTGACTAAAACAGGTTGATTGTGCTTGATCAGATACATCACTCACTTAAACATCACTGACTAAAACAGGTTGATTGTGCTTGATCTGATACACAACTGACTAAAACATGTCGGTTGTGCTTGATCTGATACATCACTCACTACAACAGTCATTACACTTAACATACTTTTAATTCAACAATCTGTTTGTGTACAGGAACATAGTTAAATATGCCTTACCAAATACCCATAACTGATTTTTATCCCATTTGATTTTGATTTGCTTCATCTCTCTTCAAATACTGGCTATGCTGGTCTATATTCTATTCCTCCTCCACAAGGTCTTTTCTTATTTTTATTAGGCACAGATTCAAAGGTCACATGCTATATAATATTAAAATCTTTTGTTAAAGGATCTGAATATAGTTTGGGGTAGGGATACTAGCTGTTATGGTTGTTAATTTGGTTTCCTGGATAAAAATTCTTTTCTTACTTTTCTGGCCCAGCACAGCGCCATCTAGATCTAGTGAATCAAGGTTTATTCTCGATAGGGTTAGTACTAATATATCAGAAAACATCAAGTTTGGTTAGAATTAGAAATCCTAGAGATGGCGGAGTGATTTTTGAAACTATGTGGAGCAGAATAATTTTCTGAAACAGGTAGCTTTGGGGAAGTAGCTTTCTCCAGGTTCATTTCTCTCAAAATCTGTGTTGTCACCGTTTCTTCGTTATCTTGTAATGGCAAGCTAGACAAGACTCTAATGAACACTGGGAGCTGAGCTAGAGCTGTGCCCATGAACAAATTATGAGATTAAATGTTATAATTGTCCCATATGGGACTTCATCCTCTAGAATAGAGGCTTTCCAGTTTGCTCATTTATAGATATATGTTCACCAACATTTACAATAATATTTCTCTGATGCAACCAACTATGAAGATTTCTAAGAGATAATATGGTTTTCAAATAGGAGACAAAAAAGTCCATATCAAAGAGGGAAGAGAATAGCCTGACTACACTTTTAGGACACCCTGTATACTCAACATAACATCTGAATTCAATTTGACAACTATAGAACTTTTATTTCACATGTTTTATACATGTATATGTTCTTTATATTTTAATATTTACAGCTATACATGCAAATGTGTGTTCATACAGTACATATGTGCAGGACTATGTACACATTAAACATATTAAACTTATAATAAATAAATAAAACATACATACAATGACATATGGCCTATATTTATCATAGTACAATGTACATTAATTCAAGTTCACTGATCATAGACTCTGCTCATGAACAAAGTATGAGACATACAGTAAAACCTGTAAAGTGGAACACCTCTGTAAGTGGAACACTTCAGAGTCGCAAGACTAATTGATTTACTGTTAAATAAACCTCTGCAGTGGAACACTTTGTTCAATTTAAACAGATTTGATTGTATGTCATATCTAACAATACAGTGGACTTCATTAATCACAAATAAGGATTTCCACATCCAGCATACAGAAAATTACTGTAAATGTTAACATACATACAATTCAAATTCTAGCAATTTTAGGCTAAGCAATCAAATGATCAAAGTCTATGAGTAATATTATATCAATTGAAATACTCATGTTTACTAGGCTCAATAGTGCCAAAACGTATATTTTAAAATACAGAGGCATTAAAAAAATGTTATGAACCAGGTTAAATTGCATCTGTTTTATTTTTCCATATATGCCATTACGAAACTATTACCAAATCAAAATAGGTACTTCACTGTATTTATTTTTACATTTTAGTCAATGAATTATCAAAATCAATAGAAATATGGTAAAAATATGCAAATAGTCAAATTCCAAAAACTGAAAAAATAACATTTTCAATAAATTCTGGCCACTTTTTGTGAACCATGGAAACTAGGCACAGGATACTTTTTGTCAAACTTTGCACATAGAAGGTTTTGAAAATTAGGTCTGTGTATTCTATTTATTTCTTCTGTACAAGGAAACATATTTTATTATTATTCCAAAACAAACATATTAACACTCACACACCTATAGACTAGAATTATTCACTACTGCTATTGACAGTATGTTACAATACTATACTTCTCATGGTTTTAAGTTTGCAAATAACAATTGCAAATAACAATTATATCAATGTACAGTGGAACCTGTGCACAATCAACTATCTTAAATGGGAACTCTCAATATAATTGAACGAGTGATCCATTCGAGACTCAGGTCGGGTCAAATAGTTGCATTGTGAAAGACAACTGAAATACATTTTACAGGAATTGTGAGCCACAATTGTTCATGTGTCAGAGGTTACACCATACATTCTATAAAGCACCAAAATCAATGAAAAAAGCAACAAAATTGTTAACTTCAAATCACTGATGATTAAATACCCGCTTAAGAAATTAAATCATATGTGGTCATAAATTCCTGTAGTTTTTAAATCATTGCTCATTATCATGGTGACCACACAGACTGTTCACTAATCATCAGTTTTTGCAGTGAAAAATAAAAATGATTGTCATAATTTTTATTTTTTCTAACTAATCTAACTTATAAGATGGCCTATTGCCTATTGACAGGATATTATAGGCCTAAATGCAATTCAGCTTGAAATCTTTGCAATTTGTGAAAGTGAATATAAAATATTAAAATGTAAATAATAGGTTATACATGAACATGTACATGTACTTATATGCAGTACTATAAATTGTGCAGTATATTCTTCAAGTCCAACAATTTGTCCCAAACAAGTAGGCTTTCAAATGTTATCTTGTCACTGGCCTAATATTGTGCTAATATATCAAATCAAAAGTCCAGTAATCATAATGTGCTTAAATGAGTATTATCTTGCATGTTCAGACAGTTTGAGGAGTACATGCATCTGGAGCAGGGAGTTGCTTCATGTGCTGCGATCAGCTTACTCTCCAATATGTAATATGTCACTGGGTTAAATGGAAAGATCACTGTTTCAAGTAATGAAGTAAGAACATATACTAGAATAGTATAAGTCTAGTAAACACTCAGCTTTTTACAGAAAATGCCATGAAAATGATCATTTCAATGTAAGTTGGACAAAAATGAATTGTGCCAGGGTATCAATTTTTTTAGGCTCAACTTATATGCAATTTAAGCTTACTGCTAGCAGAGATATCTCAACCCTTACTCAGGAATTTAACATAACATGTAAGAATGACCAGAAAGACATTTTAAAACATGTATGTGTATGATTCCACAGTTACAAAATATGAGGAAAACAATGGCACAGCAGTTCTTTATTCAAGGTTTTCTCATCTCGTGTTTGACGCAATTCTTGAAGGCTGGCCACGACCCCTGGTGGATAAGGTGAGACTGGAAAAAAAAGAGATAGTAAATATTTTTTTGCAAAACCAGACATGTGGTTTTATACTGTATAAATACAAAAATGCATTCGAGTTAGATTACAGTTTAGTTTAAAATAGTTTATTTTTACAGCAGAGCCAGGACACAGAAAGATCATTTGTTTTAGCACATGTATTTTATATTATGAAGGTTATCCACATAACTGTTTCTAATAATAAAGGTATGTTAATTTGTGACACGAGGCCTTTAATCAACAAAGTACTGACACACAGCCAGAGACAATACAACTGGATAATTCAATAGCTCAGAAACGTCAAAAGCCCAAAATATTCATAAAACCTCAAATTTCGCCCATTCTGCTTTAGCTACATGTACGAATATTTCTTTATCGAGATCCACTTACTCTAAAGCCTCTATGTAGTCTGTCCTTCATAATTGAGATGAACTCATCGTGACTAAGGTGGCCATCATCATCTGTGTCAAAGATCTGGAAGACTGTGTGCACAATACCAGGGTCCAATGAAAACCCTGTACAGATCTTCACCGCACGCTGGAACTCCTCTGTAAAAGAAAACATAGGATTCAGGTAATTTGAGAAAATTCATGCTTAGATATTAGATATTTACTTTGGAGCAGATTTACTTTTTAGATATAAGTAAAATGTTTGAAATAATTTTTTTCATAAGAGAATTCACAAGTAAATATGTTTAGCGTGACAATGAAAGCAAATAAAGATGGATTTCTATGAATGAAAGGGAAATTACAAAAATGCTTAAGATTTATGAATTTTTTATTTCTAAATACTAGGACTTTCTTCAAAGAATAAATTAATATGAATCATCAGGGATTACCCAGGATTTCAAACTAACAATCAAGAACTCAGATCAGGTGTAACAGTAATATAAAATATATGGTTATAAGCTCTTGTGTTCAGTGAAAATCAGTATCATTTAATAATTAAAATAATTGAAATATTCAAGAAGCATTTGCAGATTTGTAAATGAATCAAAGACTTTAACTAAAAAAATGAAATCTACATCCTAAGGAAGATACATTACATTACAACACACAGTTAACCCTTGACTGCCTATTTCTATAACCTCTAAGCATCTCCAGTAACTCCCCACTGATTCCATACATGTGACTAGTACTGTCTTTTTCTGTTCTTTGAATTTTTTATAGATGTAAATTGCACTTGCTGTGCTCTGCAAGCAAAAACTGGGCCAATTTGACAGAGATTTGACCATTTTCTCAATTTTTTATAAATACACTGTATCAAGAAAACTTGAAAAGAACTTAATAGGCAGTAAAGGTTATAAGGGGCCAGTCTCTAGGGTGCAATGTACAATGTATATTGGTTAGATTATGGTGTCACACTCTGCAAGCAACAATGTTTATAAACAAAATTCAAAAAACTCTTTTGAAAATTAGCCATAATATATAATTATGTATACTATTCCTGCCATGAAACTGCAAGAATAACATCATAACAAATTATTTCGTAAAATTATTTACTAGATTGGTCTAAGTATCCCAAAATTCAAAGATGAACATCACTAAACATGAACTTCCAGACCTTCATCTTAACATGGGGATAGGTTCAACTCTGAATTCTGGGATATTTTTTTCTCTTATTGGTCTAACTGATGATTTCAAGAAATTGAGTAAGCAGAAATAAGCATACATGTAGTGAGTACATTGAGTCACATCTACAACGTGCGGTCAAGATGGTACCTTCAGACACCGGTCGGTTAGCAAATGTATAGAGTTGCATAGCAACAGCAAAGTCATCAAGGCTGTTTAGAAACTTAGCAAACTGTTGAAACACATGAAAGTCCACCCCCTATAAGTAGGATATAAATGTAGAATTTTAAGCGGCTATAGTAAAGATAAAGGAGGGAGGGAGAGAGATAGATGCATCAGCTCCTGTATCCACCCATAGGGTATTATAAATTGAGGCTTTAAAGCTGCTATGGTAGTGCTAAAGAAAGGAGGGATGCAATTAAATGTAACAGTGTTTGAAATCCAATCCCTATATAAAGAGTTTTCAGTTAGTTAGTATTAATTCAGATAGTGGAAGAGAGAGTGAGAGATACAGGCATAGGCAATCCCAATGAAGTATTGGCAGTCAGTTTCCCAGCATGTTACACAGTAGAGAATCAAGTCTTCACTGCAAGGGCTGTAGCCAGGGGGATTCAGGGGGTGCAAGTGAGCCCCCCCCCCCCCCTCGGCCAAATGTTCTTTCAAAATCATGCAGTTTTTCATCATTCTGAGCACTTTTCAAGTGATTTTGGCCCTAAGTTATCAAATATAATCTCACCATAGAATTTTTTGAAAAGTGATCCCCCTTGACAAAAACTGGCTACAGGCCTGACCACCCACCCCTACCCACTTGTATATCATATTTCTGCAGACTTGATTCAAAACTACATCTAAAGAAAAGAGAATAATTTGCTTGGCATGTTACTTTTTAATCATTATTCCTGGAATAAAGGTTATTTCAAGAACAGTTCAACATAACAAAATGTCACCACCTGCTAGGTTATTCCAAAAGGTTACAAAAGTGTAACAGTATGTTACAGATGCTGTCCAATGAACACCAGTACAGAATCAGAGTCACTAAAGCAGTGGCTATAACAAGTGGTGACATAAATAGATACTGTTAAGCCAGAGAAGAGGGTTTAAACCCCTAAACAAGATAGCAGTTACCTCTTTAAGTCATACATTTTCTCACAGGATGTAACAGATAAGAGATGAAAGAAAAATGGGAATTATATGACTAATTTTTTTTTTAAATATTTGAAAAAATTAAAGGATGATTATTTTCAAACGGTTTATGACGATAGGAAAACTAAGAAATATTAAACATTTTACCTTGAAATGTATTATGCCATAATTACATTAAAATAGTAAAATAGAAAATATCAATAATTTAATTTCATGTATTTTCTCTTTTCTGTACAACTTGTTGAGAAAATGTTTGACTGAAATCAATTTCTTGAAGATTACCTTCGGAAACTGGTTGGTCAGCAAATGAGTACATCCTCATTGCAACAGTGAAGTCATCCAAACTATTTAAAAACTGGCAAAACTGCTTGAAAACTTTAAATTCAATCCCCTAAAAATGAAACATAGGCATATTAAAAATTACAACATGTACACATGTATTATTCAATATCTAAAGCCTCAATCAAGTCTGCTCTTTGGCGGCTGTAGTTTCACAAAATCAATATGGAAAATCTCCCTCCTCCTGCTGATTCTTGTATTTTATGTTGCATATTTATTTCAATTTAAGAACCTACGGCCGCCATGTGATTGACGTTGATCAAATGTGACTGAGGCATAAATGATCTGTAAATAAATGTAAAATAAATGTTAAAGAGTAAGCCTAGTGTTTCTCAAAAGTATTCTGAAATACAATTGTAGAGGGTAATATCAATTTTGTATTTGGCAGTGTGAAATACAGGATGTATTTACATCGGTCAATGTCATATTGTTCCTCGGAATAAAACCCATATTCAATCCCTCCCAGTAAATAACCTATATGTATAAGGCAGTGTGAAATACAGGCTGTATTTACGTCACATGAGCCAACCTGATCGTTAGAATTTCACCATCATTAAATTAACTAATAACTAACAAGGCATTCACATGTCAAAATGAGACCACCTGCTATTTGTTACAAAGGCCAAACTTGCCAAAATGTCGAACACTGTCCATAAAAAAATTGGAAAGTATAACAAATGTCACATCCACAAGTGGAATTTTCAAGTGGTGTAGATAAACGTGGATATAAGACTGAAAATAATTAGATTAGCATTCATGGAAAGGATCAATATGTAACAATATGCTCTCCCAGTTAAATTAGATGGCAGCTGTAATGCAAAGCTATAGAAATGCTTACTTTTAACATAACCCATTTATACTACATTGTATAGACAGCAAAACTTGCAAAGACACCACCAAAAGTGATAAAAGGCTGTTGATGTTAGGTTGAATGTAATTCTACTATTCAAATACTACCTCTCAAATTCAAGAAGTCATTCATGTGTGCATCCGTGAGAACCACAATTTTCTGATCACGTATTTATAAGCTGTCTTAATACAATTAATTAATTATCTACCCATATCAATTTCTTGCACATCTTTCCTTTTCACGTCAGAGACAGACATACGACTTACTGTTTTTAAAATATCTAATCAATTCTTATTTATTCTTAATTTTCCAGTTTTTCCTTATTTCACATTCTAAGATATGACCTCAATGACAGCTACCGACTTTTTGTAGATAAAAAACACGATGACATCATTAGCAATAAATTAAACGATTCAATCCACTATAGATCTTGAAATGTGAAAACTAGAACACACAATAAATCTGATTCAAAGACTTGAAGTTATTTGACATGTTCTTAACGGTATAATGGATTATAACACGGTCAAGATGTTTCCTATTATGAATCACAATTGAAACATAAAATGTCATTACGCTAATATTTTATTCTATATAAAACAATGATGCAGTGTGGAATAATCAAATTTTATTAATTGATGAACTGTCTTGGAGGATAATTTGCATCTAACGGAGGTCTTAAATTCAGTTATTTCACCAAATTGTGTAGAATTCTTGAAAACGGGAAAACTCTTGTGTGATTGTTTGCTTGAGTATTTCCACCTACACATCAAGAAAATCTCCTCAGATGAAGATATATGGAGATGTATTGGTCTCTGAATTGATGGAATATTTGAACTGACTTCTGCAAACAATTTCACCCATCTTTCAACATTTTTTCTAAAATCTTTAAAAAATTTGAAAGAAGTGTCTGATTTTTGATTTTTCCATACAATTTAGGGTCTTAACTTTACATTGGTTCGATTTACTTCTCACAGGGACCACTTCTTTTGACAGTACTTCACAAAAGAAAGGAAGAGACTTTGGGACGGGTGACAAATTCCAGGATATTCTCACTTAAATGTTGGTGCGCAGAGTCTGAGATGACGCAACTGGTGTCATTCAAGTCTGCTTCATTTATTACTTTCGTCTCGATTCATCACAAAAACAAGTGATTCTGAGAATTAAGATGATTAATCAGGACTATATTGAGACAAACGAGGATAAAAAAATAGAGAGGGCAATTTTGAGTACAATTCTATTACATGATTTATCATGTATTATGATTCATTTAACGTTTGAAGTTTTCCATGTTTTAGGGAGGGGGAGGAAATGGTGTTATACAAATGTGATTGGTTCAATCTAAATGGGGGAGGAGATAATATTCCGGAAAGGCCTAAGAGCATGAGAAATTGGCCAAAATAAGTCCAGGGGTTAACAACAAAAAATCTGCAGAATGAAAATACTGACCTCCAGAGAATTTCAGGGGCAAGACTGACTGACAAAAATAATGGTGCAAATGAAGTTCACCACAAAAGTCCAGTGGAGCAAAAGAGGGTGAAGTTATTGAAAGGTCCAAGGGGCAGGAGGGTGATCAACTGACAGAAATTCCAGTGGGGCATGAGGGGGTGAAGTTGTTGAAAGGTCCAAGGAGCAGGAGGGTGATCAATTGACAGAAATGTCCAGTGGAGCAAGAGGGGGTGAAGTTATTGAAAGGTCCAAGGGGCGGGAGGGTGATCAATTGACAGAAATGTCCAGTGGAGCAAGAGGGGGGAACTTATGTATAGAAAGGTCTAAAGGAGACAAGGGGTGATAAACCAACAGGAAACTCCAGGGGGCATAATAGGATTGAGGTCATCATAAAGTTACAGTACCTAGAAGAGTGATTACTGGGAAATTATCAGATAGACCAATGTAATAAGTGATTATCAGTGATTTATCACAAATGTTAAGGTGAACGACTGTAACCCCACGCATAGAACAATAAATTGACCATCAAATCTTGTTAATTACCCGCAGGTAAAATAACAGGTGGGTGAATATTCTGAAATGCAATTTACAGAAGGGAATAATCAAAGAAATAGGCAACTTGTGACGCACTAAGTATAGGAAATGCCAGCAAATCAGATACTAGCAAATAATTCAAATTTTATTGAGGAAGGACAGTCAATATGTTTTCGTGATAGTTTATTATAGGAATTCAAAGAATTCCCAATAATAGTTGACGACACAGGAAATTCTTGATATCATAGATTTCTTGGTTTTTTAGACATACATTGATATTTTTCAATTTATTCAATTCAACTAATATGATGATATGATTAGAGTCACTTGTACTGTACTTGATTAATAAAATGATTAATCTATGATTAAAGATGGTGATGTTAATAACTAATATGTTGGGTAAAGATTAAGAATTATTTATGAGCACGTATTATTTTCTAATTATAGCAGATATTTAAGGAAATAAAAATGAGAGTTATGAGTTGGAATATAGAATCATCAAATTATGAGGAGCAATATTTGACAATTGAATTAAGAGGTGCAATACTAGACAATCAAATTATGGGGTACAATATTAGACCATCAAAAAACTATGAGGTGCAAACATGAAACTAATAGTTTCATGTTTGCACCTCGTCGTTTTTTAAATTATGAGGTGCAATGTAGGAATTTAATAATACAAGGTGTAATACAAGAGCATGACACTAAGAGTTGCAATATAGGACCATTGAATTATAAGATGCAATACGAGACCATCAACTTATGAGTTGCAATATATGAGCATCAAATTAGGAAGTTGCAACTTTGCACCATCAGATTATGAGAACCAATATAAGAGTTTGAAATCATATGTTAAAATTCAGAACCATCAAATTATAAGGTGCAATAAAAGTCCATCAAATTAAGAGGTGCAATATAAGACCATCAAATTAAGAGGTAGACCATCAGATTATAAGGTGCAATATAAGTCCATCAAATTAAGAGGTGCAATATAAGATCATCGAATCAAGAGGTAGACCATCAAATTATAAGGTGCAATAGGAAACATTAATCCCATGAGCTATATATATATTGCAATCAATTTCCCAGAGTCCTCAGACAGTATATGTATTTCAAATGTTAGCAGCATGATGCAATGTGTAAGAACCATCTTCCCTAAATAAAAGCAAAATTCCAGCAATAGAGATGTTAATCCTGTTTTCAAGTCCTTAATATTACCTTGTGCACCTGAAAATGATGTAACATATAAATATGTGAGAACATGAACGTGAAGGGAAATATATTACAATTTAATTTTCATATCATATAAAACATGATGTACATGTACATGTATATGTGTATGGACAGAAATTAGGAAAACGTTTCATGTTTTATATTCTATGAAAACTGCTAAATAAATATAAAATTTCACTATAATATGACATGTCTCAAATACTTTTTTGTATATTCCAGTACGGCAATGAGATATTTCTGCGTGTGAATTCACCGTCATAATATATTTAAAGTTTATACTCTGCTCATATGCATTGTTTCCAGTTTTACTTAGAGTCTACTCATGCTTATTGCAATAATATCTCACAAAATTTGAATGAAGTGTCAGAATTTCTTGCATTTCTAAACAGTTTAGAGAGTTAACTACATGCCTGTTAACTTAAATCCTCACTTATTTCTCGCTGTTCCACTCTATTTTGCAAGTTAAAACATCTGGAGAATTGAGAATACCTACCACTTCTTGCTGTACTCTATTTTTCAGTCTATCCAGGTATTCTTCATAGTCCTCTTTGTTGACTTTCGTATAACGAAGAAGAATCTTCGCAAATTCAACCTTAAAGGAGAGAAGGCACAAATTGCAATATTAAACAAGGCCAAGGGTGAACAATATCCAAAATGGCTTCCTTAGAATTTACCCAGCATGCTCAAATGTATGTGTCAAAAGTAATCAAATATCTGAATAGATAAATATGTTGTTTACCAAATAGTAGAATTGTTTGGACATTTCATTCAACTGTTTTTTTAATTTAACCATGGTTACACAGGCTATAGACTACGGGGAATAAACACCTGGCCATAGAAGATGCCCATAGTAATACAGCCGAAAAAAAGTTCTTTATGATTTTAAATCTTTTGAATACTTCATTTGCAACTCTTACCTCAGATATCTTTGGCATTCCCTTGGAGAACTCACTGAACTCCAATTCTAGCACCTCTGTCTGGAGATTGTCCATAAACCTAAAAATTTAATTCAATTTTTTAACAATAGGTTTATTTCATGAAATATCACGTAACATAGTGCATAATTATGCGGCAAATCGCTTTATACAGTTATAGTTATTGCTCCCTGTTTTTTATTACAATACAATGTGAGACAAGGTATATATGTTGTCAAAGTTAAAGATCATGGGCAATGGATATGCTTCCTCAATAATTTGAGTTTAAAATTAGAGGGTTGCATTTTTTGGGTCACCCTGTAAAATAAATTTAAACTTGGAGCTTTAAAACTTTGGACTACGAAAAATGTGAGACACTATGTAAAACAGTATTTTTTATTTTACTAAGATTTTATAACTTACATTAAGAACATAATATTAGTTGACAAAATATAATATATGATCAACAGCAGCAGACCTCAATAACTTCAATGCTTATAATCATTTTTCAGCTATAGTTGTATCAATTAGGAGGATTACTTACCTGTAAAAATTATCATATGAAAGACTCTTGTCTCCCTTTTGGCCAAAGAAATGGGTCAACAATGTAGTATCTACCAGATCAGCACTCTGAGCATCACCCTAAAATATAGAGAATTTTATTAAAAACTAATTTCTATAAATGGAAAATGGTAATCTCCCCAGGATTTTTTTTCAATATATAGCTGAATTTTAATGTAGTATTAACTATTATACCAGTTTGGGTCAAAATATTGATATACCTCTACCCTATACACTCCCAAAATGCAATCTGATTTTCGACGCCGTTTCGGTGCCAAATTTCGGTGCCGTTTCGGCACCAAATGGAATGACTAGTCCGGTAGCAAATTTTGGTGTCGAAAGGTTTCGGTGCCGGAACGGTGTCGAAACGGTGCCGGAACGGTGCCAAATTTGTTCGATGCCGAAACGGCGTCGAATTATATTGGCTGTGTAAGAGTGCCACATTGAAAATATGTATGAACTCTTCGAAAAAGATGAAATGTTAGGATAATTTGATCAAATGGGTAAAATCAAAATTAACATTTAGCACCCTGTTTGGACAAAATACCTTGAGAGACAACTGAAAATTTCTTTCTTTTTCTGAATCTTTTTTGAGTTACAATACAAAATTTTCTCTTCTATAAAATTAAAAAAGCAAATTTCAAGCTTCATTTTGTATTGAATAAAAGCAATTACTAACAATATGAAAAAAATCTACTTTAAAAAAGAATGCGAGCTCCCAGAATGCATTTGTTTATTTATCATGATTTCCCACAATGCAACAGTAATCTTATAACCTCTTAATTTATATACACAACGACGTATGCTAAAAGGAAGGAGACTGTCAAAGGTAACACTTAAGTGGGGGCGTGCTAATTAAAACCAATTAACTAACACTGTGATCTTTGCGCTAATTGATCTATAAATAACTTAATAGAGGTTGTTATTACTTCTAGTTATCGACCAATCAATTGTTCCGTTTGAGCAAAGCAAGATTGTTTTTATTCTCGAAGAGAATGATCTATGTATCTATTACAAGTAATTGACAGGTTACCTCTCAAGTATAAGATAAACATAATCTTTAAATAACTAGCGAAGAATCAGTAATAATACAAATCATCGATAAATCAGTCTGCGGTAAGTCATGTTACAAAAGATACAGACATCTAAAATGTCACGTTTGATTCAATACTTTTCTTTATAAAATGTGAAAGAAGTGTTGTTTTTCTACATTTCTATACAATGTAGAGTATTCACTACATGCCGGTTTACTTTATTCCTTCTTAATTCCACTCATTTCTCTCTTAAATTTGAATGAAGTGTTTGATTTTCTAGCATTTTTATATAATTTAGAGCATTCCCTAAATGCCTGTTTGGATTATTTCTTGGTTATTCCTCTCTTTTCCATCTTTTTTTGCATTTTAAAACAAGACCAAATGTTTTCTTAGTGCCTAACTAGCAATTGACATTACAATTGTGATCCCATTAATTGCCTCGTGGAGAAAATGTGAATGTAGTTGTATTTTAAAACACAAAATAGAGAACAAAATGCTGGAATTAGCAAGAAATAAAAAACATAGGTACCAAATCGAGACTCAAATTTTTATAAAAATGCAGGAAAATCTGATACTTTATTCAAATTTTAGAGAGAGATTACCAGAAATAAGCAAAAGCAGACGGCCTTCATGCCCTGTAGCTTTCGCACAGGAATGTTTACAGTTAAACACTTATAGATATCTCAATACAGAGTCTATTGACAAATAGGTTATAAATGTATCGATACGACGGAAAATAACAAAAGATGAAGCGTCTAGAATGTTTAATAGTGTTGACATAGTACTAGAGATCAATTTCACTGGTGTATCACGTCAAAAGATATCAATAGATATGACGCCCAGATTCTTCCTATCGACCACCCCTCAATGAATGTCTCAGTCTTGTAGACAGCTTCAAGAAAATAATCCCAATTGAGTGATTGCCCCAAGTTAAGGAATTAAACTTTGAGGTTCTGCATTAGTCTGATCTCATCTTCACATGTTAAGGTATTCACTGCCTTCGATGTGTTAAGAATTTGGGCTGGAATTTACAGAAAATATTTCCTTTGGAGTCAATGAAATTGAAGAAATTCAAGCTGCATTTGGATTTTGTTACATAAAATAAGCTTTATGTTTTAGAGTTTAAGGGAAGGGGTAAAAAGGAAAGTATGTAACCTCACCCGACTGGATCCAATTTTAAAACAATAAATGACCTACTTTCACAATTTTTGAAACAAAACTTCAAAAACAATCTTTTGAAATTAAAAACGTTTCATATAACACATTCTGATAACAAAAGGTGGCACTGTAATGTAAAGTGGTTTTAACTTTACATGGGGCCTTTTAATCAAACCCTAACTGAGTCAAAATGAAAAGTTAGTGTCCCTTGTGTATTCATGGATCATGTTACCATAGGAATCTATCAATTAATAAAAATATCAATATCAATTATGTATTCAAATAAAAAGACAAGAGGAAGTCTCCCACCAACTAAGAATTTTGGACGTCACACAAAATATTTTAAAACTATCCTCAGGCATTATAAAATTGATGTCTAGCACACAAAGACAAAAAAATATTTGTTTTCGGTCCGTGAGATAAACCCCATGAGCCCATATACAGTAAAACAAAAAGCAAAATGACTGAATGCTTTGGATTTATCGGTCAATTATCAGATCTTTAACCCCATTTCATAATCTCTTTGGTAACTTTGTAACATGACATTTCCAAGGTCACCTTAATGATTGGGCCTAGTGGAATCAGAACTTATAAATGAGGGAATCCCAGATAAATGTTCAGTTTAGGTTTACAGTATCATAGCATAAACATAATTGAATTTCTCCCTCATTCTTTGCTCTCACACTTCAATTATAAGTGTACATATATAAATCTAAAAATAGCTGAGATTTCTTTGATTCCTGATAGAAAGACTTCGTGACATTATGTAATCAACTGAAGGAAAAAATATTCCCCCGATTTTATCTAATTGCGGCATTTCTCACAAAATTTCAAAACAAGCGCCTGAATTGATGTCATTCTGACTAACTTTAGCGTGTCTTCTGATGCCTCATTGGCTTATTTCACCCAAATTTCACCCCCTCCCTCTCTAATAAGTACCTTAAATCATTACCATCATGCAATTTTATTTTTAGTTAAATGAAGAGATCGTTAAGAAGGTAAGTTGACAGGAGCTATTAACATGGATTACTTAAATAATATAAATTGATTCCGCGGGGGTGTAACACAGACTCTGATCGATAATCAATAAGTGCAAGACAAGGTGCACGTTCCTATTGTTATGACTTCTCAAATCGTCTCTAATTGATTAAATACTTGGAATTCTTCTACAGGGATATCCCCAAGAGGTACATCTCTTCAAATATATTCAACAGGAGCATTTCTTTCTATTTTCTTGTATTTTCTAAAAAAATGTCCTTGGATTGAACGATGGATATGGGAAACCTATGGTGATTTAAGAATTGTTAATTGTTTTATACTTTTGGAATCATGCTAATAAAAATGATAGTAACAATCAAAAATGAATAATTGGTAAATGCAAATAAAAAATAGGAACATTTATATTGAAGTTAATTTGTTATGATATAAGAACCCAAAACCTAACCAAAATATTCTATAAATTGGCCTAGCTTTTTTCATAAAAAGTAATAATCAGTAAAAATAAATATTCAAACATTTCGGTATAATTTAAAGTAAGTATCCATGTTGAGATCAGTTAATATGCTGAAAAAATAATCTATCAATTCTGTCAATTGATTGAATATGGTAATATCTAATTGTTAGTTTATATCATACAATTATATTCTAAAGTAAGAAATCTTTAACTGTCATAAGCTTTCAAAAACATGTCTATAGCTATTTGACCTCATTGTGATGGCCCTAAGTGAATAAGTGCAAAACTAACTTGTGGGTAGAAGCTTCTATTGAAGTAATAATTAAAAGAGACAATAGTTCTTACAGTGTATTATATACAGAAAAAAGTAATTTCATAACCAAATTAATGAAATTACAAAACAAGTCTGGTTCCTACGTAATATTGAAAAATGACAATTATAATTTCGTAAAATTCCAGAATAATAATAGCCAAACATGCAAAAGTAAGGAGAATATGTCTAATTCCTGAATAAGTAGGTGCCTGTCATGCTACTCAAGTATATGATTAGTAATTTAATTGGTAAGAATTAATCAAAAACAGAAGATTAACCAGAAGTTGCAAATTGAACTGAAAACTAGAAGTATACAAGGTATTAACATGCAAAATGTCACCACATGCCATTTGTTACAGATGCCGACTGCTGAACACTAACCGCTGAACTGTCTACAGAGACTTTAACAATATTTCACCACTTGTGGTGGTGAAATTATAAACCAAATAAATAGTTTTGATCTTTCTGATATGCAATTCAACTAATGTACTGATATATAAAACAGAAAAACTTGACCCATTTTGTTAGTGTTACCTAGACATCAAACCTAAATCAACATTTGTGACATCACCATAATGCAAAAAGCACCATTTGTTACCCAGAATCCAATGCTATCAATTAACCCAAATCCAAAATCGGAATAGGCGAGTAAATTCGCAGGAACTTAACCAGTCTCAACAAAAAGTCAGTGAGAATTATATCAGCAATTAGCATTAGACAAAACAGAATGGTTTAAATAATGGAAAGAATGTATTTTTAGATCATTTGTGATCAACGTTGAAGTTTGATATATAACATCAAAGACCTATTTTTATAGAGAAATGTTTGGTTTTCATCGTCCATGAAGTCACTTCAGGTATTTTTTCAATGTGTTTATTGCCATTGTGAATACTTGGACTGGGAAAATTGTTTTCTATCATTTAAATAAACAATTACGTAAGGAAAATAATCCAGACTTGTTTCAATAAGCGTTGCTTAAATAGAACCCATCAGCAAGCACATAAATGATTTTTGATTTCGATAAAATCGATAGATTTATATATATATTAGGTATATTACACCCTCTATGGTATTAAGTATTACCTTACACTTCTATTTCTATGCTATTATTTTATAATTTTGTTTATAATTATGTATGCTAATCATACAATCATAAAAAGATTATTTTAAACATGCACAATTATGATATCTGAGGCTAATCTATTGGAGTATCTTAAAATATACAGGGAAGGGTAAGGGAAATATCTATGTTCCTTACAACAGCTAGATATTTAGCTAGGGTATTTACAATTTGTTGGCATTACATCTAATACTTTGGTATTTGAATATAATTCACTACAATATAGGGGCACTATATAATATTTTGGTATTACAATAAAATGGCTTTGCTATAATTGCATTATATATCAATACTACAATATAATGACATATTATATTCTGGTATTATGATATAATAGCATTGCATATTTTTAATGAATGGGTTAAGATGGGAATTCAAAAAATCAAACATATTCTTAATAAGGATAAGGATAATCAGAATTTTGATGAAATAGTAAATGTCATTGGTCCAAGACCAGATCTTAGAATGCAATATAATTTAATAAAATCTTTATTGGACAACAAAACCATTGTGCATAATAATAATGAACACATGTATAATAATATTGTAATAGCAACAGCAAAATTAAAAGACTTTAAAGGCATAATTATTCAAAATGAAATAGAGATTCCAAATATTCCTGAAAAATGGAGAAATGAATGCCAGGTAGACATGAAGTTGGCTTTTAAAACAGTTAAAAGTTTAAAAGAGCCTAGGCTAAGGTCACTTTTTTATAAGATACTCTATAAAATATATCCAACAAATGAATTACTTTATAAAATGAAAAAGAAAGAATCAAACAACTGTGAAAAATGTAATATAAAAGACACCTATAAACACTTTTTTTGTGGATTGTACATATATAAAGCAAGTTTGGGTGATGGTGGAAACATACTGTCTTAAAAAATTAAACAAAAAAATTAACCTTAGTATATCAGAAAAGATGTTAGGTACTAGAGACCAAGAAGTAAATGTTGTAATAAGTATTGCACACAATGTAATTAGTAAATTTAAGAAAGGGAACCATCCAAATCTAGAATTTTTATTTGATTATGAACTGATGATAAGGAAAATGTAATATTGTTTTTGCTGTTGCTAATTCTGGTTAGTTTATTTGTAATTGGTATTATATGGAAATAAAAAAAAAATAAATAAAATAATAGCATTGTAATATGTTTGCATGATATAAAATGTTGGTATAACAATATCATGGAATATATTACATTTTAGTCTTACAGTATAATGGCACTATAATATGCAATATATGGCATTATATTGTATTTTAGGTATAACAATATGTTTGCATTATATCATATTTTGTTATTACATTATAATATAATATAGCTTTATAACATTTTGGTATTACAATATAATGGCACTACAATCCCGGGACTACAATATGTCTGCATTATACAATATTTTGTGTTGCTGGCATTACAATATGTTGGTCTATACTAATCTACCTTGATGATGTCCCAGAATGATCTATGAGGTGGCTGAAAGTTTTAATAATTAAAGTATTTATAACATGCATTGAAGTACCTCGAACATGCAGATAGATGCTGAATGGTTGAAGTAAAGAATAAGGCCCAAGAAAAGTGCACAATTGTGCAGTCAAATGCATGGAATATAGCAATGAAAGCTGCCAATGATAGCATTTTGGATGGAAAGCTATCCTGTGAAGCACACAGGTTAAGAAAATGGCTAAATATTGCATACCTGTGCACATGTTTCTATTCACATTTACCTGTACCCTTCTCATTCCTATTCACATTGTATTACTTCTACCTACCAGTTCTATGGCTGCACTTGGGCCTTCCATCTCTCCACCTGTGTCTCTGCCTTGTCCACTGAAGATTCGCTCCAACTGTAAAATAAATACACACCCTATATATCTGATCCTTCGTTATATTACACACAAAGGGTAGCCTGTATATAAACACAGTAGCACACCAACAGTTACACAAACAAATTCATTTGATGCAAATAATTGTTTGAAAGGGTAGATACCATTGACAATTTGCAGCTTGCATCAGAAATGGTTGAAGAAATATTTCGTAACCAATAAAAAATGAGGCCATTAGAATACGGTACTTTTAAGTTGGTAAAAAGTTGCCAAATGCAAAAATTATATCAAAGTGATTATCATCTTCCAAAAATCTGCATCAAATGTATCTGAATTATGCAACATCACATTTAAGATAAATTCAAAAGACATGGAAGCTATGTACTAGTACTTTTTTAATTGCACCAAAAATGAGAAAATCTATATATTAATCTACTTTAAATATTTTTAATTCAAATCAAATTACTATCTAGGGACATATAAAATTGCATACAAATATCTATGATTAATTATAACAAGTATAAAATATAATAAAAATATAACAAATATATTTTATAAAAGAAAAAAGGAAGAATTTCGTGTTTTTTAGTAACTAAACATAAACTTAACATATGAGAAACATTAAACTAAATGGTTAATTAAAAGAATTTCTTCCAAAAATTATTAGAAAGTATATTACTATAAATCTTATGATAAAAAGGGAGTGCAAAAACCAAAAGCAAAAAATGTTAAAAAATGAATATGGTACCTGAAAATCAAACCTAAACATTGTTATATTTCACTGTCATTTTTTTATTAGGCACAACAATATAAGTGGAAATAATGGAAGGGGATTCAAATCATGGGCATAATTCCTTGTTACATTTCCTATCATTAACACAAAGAGATACACTTGGACAAGCAAAAATTACATGTTTATTTGATTGTACATTTTATAATTCAACAGAAGAGTTAGTCACATGCAATTTGGACACTTATAGGATTAGTAAATGTTATATAATACATTTTGACATGCAGATCATATGTTATACCACTGTTCATAAATTGACCCTAAATATACATGCATATAATATCCTAAGCAAAGTTACATGGTTTTAATCATCAAAATCCTTTGTAGACTTGTTAGGAAAATGATCCCTCAAAAACTGTTTCTAGTCATGCATAAACAGTTTTTTAAGACCAGTAGAGACATCTTTTTAAGCTACATACAAACATATGTTAATATGTCGGTGACATCTATATTAGTAAATTAATCATTCATAAATAATCAACCAACAATCAGAGCCACCTTTAGGTGTGAGGTATAAACATAGTGCATATTAATTTAAATTCTATATTTTTACTAGTATTCAAGAATGTGCTTTCTTACAATATCTTATGCAAACTAGACAGCCAGGACTTAAAATTAAAATCTTTTGAATACCAATAAACCTTAATTTTAAGATCGGGAAGTATATTTTTAAAATCATATAAACAAATTCCAAGTATAATCTAAGACTCTTAAGACTATGAGCTTGCATTCAGCATTGAAATGGTTTTAAATGGCTAAAAGTTATGTAACAATTTCTGACCAGAGGAAAAAGTTTATGATCATCATAATCTTGCAGGATATTTGAAAGAATGGTGCATTTATCTTATTTCAAAAGTGACAAGAATGGGAAAAATACCGTAGCAATAAGCTTGATGTCACATTGGAGCAAATTTTCACATTCCAATTTCCTCTTCTTTTCCATTTTGCAAAAAGGACCTAATTTCACAGATCATAAAGGTAAGATGATAGTCATGGTACTAATTTTCCTTTTAATTTTTCAGTATTGTTTTGGTGCTGAAGTCACTGCTAGCTTACTACAGCAAAAGGATGACCATAAACTTTTTCTCGATTAAGTCATACAAGAATTTATGATTAGGCCCACCACATATGAATTGCTATATGAAAACATACTACAGGTGGGAGCTGTGTATCAGCCCCTTGAATGCCAATCATCTGATGTTTCACTTCATCCATCTGAAACACATTAGGGGGCAGCTCAAGAATCAAGCACTAAATTCTACAAGGAATTCACTGACTTTGAGCCTATCCACCCACCCACCCTTGTTAATACAATAGATTTTCTGGAAGTGCAATTTTTTCAAGAATAAATCCAAATAGTATACATGTAATAGACTGAACCGATGATTTTTGCATTTTCTAGTCTTGTAACAGCAGTTTTCCCCCCACTCACTTATTTCACAAATAATTCGAAAAACAAGTCGAATCTATTGATTCTTCGAATGAAGCTAGAAACTTCCCACATATCATCAGAACACCATTCCCTATGATTTGAAAGTCAAAGCCAAATAAATGGTCAATGGGAAGGACTCAAATAAAGCAATTACCCCCCTCCAAAGGGAATTGATTTCATTTAAAGCGAGTGCATGCAAAACTCATGAGATGGCTCCTTACTCCAAAAACAAATATTCATTCCATACTAGCAAACCAATCTATTGTCAATCAATGCATGCAACTGATTTGTTCTTCATTATTTAAATCTCAAAATTGCAAGGTGCCACATATAGTAACCATGTACGTCATAAAGGCTTGGTAGACCGTCAGATTTTGGGAGAACATTTAACTAACACTGATTTTTTTCTCAACTATCAAAACCCAAATCTTTTGGTAATTTTTTTACCAAGATTTTATGAAACCAGAATTTTTTTTATATTTAGACTCAGACTTTTCTTGTTAGGTCCCCCAAAATCCAATGGTTTCTAATATATGCTATCAAATAAAATATGCAAAATGAAGGCCATAAATATCCTAAGTTCTAAGAGAAAAGTTGAAATATTTTTTTTAAATATTTAAGAAACACTAAAAAATAATAACTACAGCAAAGTAATGAATCAATATTTTACACATTAAATAAAATAAAGAATCTTTCTACCAACATCACACAAATCAATAATAGACAGAATATTCTTGCTTTTAATTTTTAAATATCGAGTAAATTTTCATGGTCTATGTAAAATATAAATGGGGTAATCAATCATCGCCCCCTAATCAATTTTTGAAATATTGAAAAAATGTTTCAATATATATTATTAATCTATTTTTTGAATGATCTGTTCTAAGAGTTTTAAAGACACTTAGTAGAGATATAGGTCTATAGTTTGAAAATAGTTTGATGTTAAGTTGAAAGATTCAAAATGTATGAAAATGAAAAATTATTTTACTTCTGATACTTAAGACTTACCTCTAGAAGTATAACATGGACAATAGAGAATTAGCGAAATATGATAGATACAGGGTAGGGGTAGAAAGACTAACTTATAAGCAATGTTTTATGGCAAGCATGCATATAACTCAGCATATTACATAACATATAAATGACAACAAAAATAAAATTCAAATATTTCAAAAATAAAAAATGAATAACTTTTTTTTCTCAAAGTAAACTTTTTGAAAAAATGCCTCAACAATTTTGGGCATGAAAAATAATCTTTGGATGATTATATAGGGGGAATATATCTTGGATCTACTGGCAATATTAATATATAGCTTGACATGTTGGATATATAAAATGCTTAAGCTGGAGTGCATATATTTTGTCAAAAGCAGAGCATGCACTTCTGTATATGGCAAGACAGTATAGCATAGCACAAACGAGTTGATAAATATTCAGAGCTCACATATTATTGTATATGAAGACCTTGTAGTGATCATGCAATAACGGCACATATTCTAGATATCGGCACACATTCCAGATCTTAGCACACATGCAAGACTCACAAAGCAAAACACTACTATGGTAGTCCACAGTGAGATATCACAAGGGTCACGTTTTAATTGCAAAATAGAGTACAAAAGATCTCAGTTCATACAATTAAAATATGGCCATTGTAATCTTTAATCCATGGATGACTTTTAGTAGTTTTACTTACAAGATCTGTACTACGTTCTATTTTAATAGCCAAATAGCTCTGTAGCTCTTGCAATGATGTCTAACAAAAAACCAGAAATTTTTCTAAGACAGATATTAATAAAAATGTCAGTCACATTTACAAAGGTATATTCATTCAATGGTGCAAGTGTTTAATTAGTCATAGTACAAGGGGTGATCCAAAATAAATAAGGCAAAATTTTATAGACAGTCACATCCTGACTTTTACATGATTTGTATAAAATGGTATATATCAAGATTATATCCTTTACTTTTGAATCACCCCTCGTATATGGTTTATTCGCTTGTTTGAAGATCTTCATAAAACAAAGCTTGCAATTAAAAATCCGTCACCATTGAATTGAATATAGCTCAATCCAGAATCTGAGCAATAGTTTCTTCCTAGTATGAGCTCATTATATTATTCGTGCATTAGAAGAAAAATAAAGAATACATTTCTTGTTACGACATAGAAACACTGTTAAAAGGAAAATGTTAGCATTTTTCAAGTTTGCTAAATGTACAAATATATAATATACCATTTTATTACTATGATGATTGCATACAATATGGTACCCTGCGTGCAGAGTCTAGTTAAACTACAAGAAGATGAAGCTCTCTTTTAAGAAGTGAAGTCAAACAAATGCAAAGGGTAACAATATGGTGGTCATGATTTAAATATTTAATGCTGAAATTACATTGAATTTAAATGGTCTATCTAATTAATCTATCTACTGTAGACAGTAAAATGTATTTTAATAAAATAATATATGCAGATTATATGAATAATTGTGGATAAAAACGGGCTTAAATAGATAGTATGTAATAGCTAATATATAAGACTAAATTGTGACTCGAAGACACATTAAGTAGGGAATATAGGTATGAATTATAACTCGAAGTTATACTAATTGGTGAATTAATCATGACTTGATGACACAATAATTAAGTAGTGAATATGGGTATAAATTATGAGTCAAAGTCACACCAATTGGTGAATATGGGTTTATATTATGACTTGATGACACATTAATTAAATAGTGAATATGGGTATAAATTAGGACTCAAAGTCACACCAATTGATGAATATGGGTAAACATTTTGACTTGATGACACAATAATTAAGTAGTGAATATGGGTATAAATTAGGACTCAAAGTCACACCAATATTGGTGAACATTGGAATAAATTATGATTTGATGACACATTAAGTAGTGAATATGGGTATAAATTATGATACAAAGACATATATAAACAATATTTAAGTAATGATTTTGAGTACAAATCAACTCAGACACATCTATTAAGATAGGAATATTGGTATAAATTATGACTTAAAAACATATTAAGTAAAGATTTTTCCAGGTTCTAATACAAAATAGATTCAAAGACACATTAAGTAAGGAAGAGGTTAACTATAAATTATGGCTAGAATCAAATCTACAATATAATGAGACTTTGGAATTATAAACAATGACAAAGCAAAGTAGTAAAAAGTGGTTGGTAAAGTGAATGATAAATACTTATTTATATACTTATTCTTTATGACAAAATATGTGTTTAATAATAATATGTAAATTAGAACGTAAATAAATTATCATAAGAATGAAATTAAAATTTTTGTGCAAACTTGATAATCAAATTGATAGCATGGTAAATCTAGGTTTTCATGACTACTTTATAATAGTTGAAGTAACTGAAATTGAAAACGTGCATGCTTTGATTAATTCAACATATAGGATTTATACCTGATTATATGCAAATGTAAATAAACAATGTTATGTCTTTCACAATGTTAAATAAAGAATAGACATTTTTATATGTGAAAAAGATTCACACACTGTATAGCTCAAGAAAGAATTGCAGAATGATTGGACATGGGGTATTTTGTTAAAGAAAGAATTGCAGAATGTTCGAGGATGTATGGCATATCGTTACAGAAAGAATTGCAAATTGATTAGACATGGTACATTTTGTTAAATAAAAAGTTGCAGAATGTTTGACCAATGTATGGTATTTTGTTAAAGAAAGGATTGCAGAATGCTTGAGCGATGTATGGCATTATGTTGTATAATGTTTGAGCAGATTTAAAATATTAGATAATGAATTACAAGAGTTGCCCATTACATTGCACTGTTAGATGTTTTGCATGCTGCCGAAAGAGGTCTGCGAAAGACAAGCCAGGATGGGTACACTCCAATTTCCAAAAGTCAGAGAGGAAAAAGACTTTGCCATCTTGATATACCAACTAGTTTAGAACCAAGAACAAGCAAGTTATTTTGTCATATTTTCATATGATTCAGAGAACAGTCTTAATATATCCTATGATTCTTCCATATAAAATTCTATATTTAATGACATCCGATGATAGCCATCACTCAGTTTTTCAATGTTCCAAACTAACTGTATAACAAAGGCCTTCAAACTTTGGGAACAATAGGAGCAATCTGACATTGGGAACTAGACTTAACTCTTGTATCAGGACCCTATCCTACCTATCTACCCTTTCCTACAAATGCTCTCTACTTTGAGGAGCAAGAGCCATCAGAAAAGGGTGTTTGTAATTAACCCATTTCTTGTGTTACACCCCCTTCATTCTATTGCTCTCTATTCATACCAGACTGGTAAAGGTAAGTGCAAAGAAATAGAGGGTAGAGGGTGGATAAGGGGTCTGATTCAAGAGTATCAGTATGAGGGGGCAAACTTATTATCCATAACGTACAGTCCATTGGTCGGAGACCAGTTGCCACAGGTTGCTAGGTGCGTGTTTGACACGGTCAAGACGATCCAGCACGTGGGTTTTACGTAAATCAAGCACATGTGTACAGAATAGGTTCATCAGCTGAAAGAAAAAGATAAAGAAAAGGACATAAATTTAATGCCGTTGTGAACAACAGCACCACCTATTGGTGGCAAAAGTGGATGTATTATCAAAGAGCACGCCATATTAACGATAACATCAGCATACCAATTGCACAACCATGAGAAAATCTACAAAAGATGGACAAAAATAAAATGTTAATCCGATAAAACTGGTATTTTGAGAGGATGACTTAGTATAGGGAAGACAGAATGAGAAAGAGGATTAAGCAAGCAAGCAAAGAATAAGCTTGAAGTTAGTAGAAAATAGAAAATTTCAAAGATCATTAAAAATTAGACTTATCTTGTCAAACAGGTTATGTCAAGGGAAACAAAGCTTGTTCTTTTGAGGAATTTCAAAAAATGGTTCTAATTCTGGGGAATTTAAAGAATGCTTCTAATTTGGGGGAATTTCAAAAATGCTTTTAATTTTTGGGTAATTTATGATATGCACTATATTTACACACCATCACACTCCATTCCAAATTATACTATATCTTATTTCTCATGTTATAATAAATAAAAAAGCTATTGTTATGCAGAGCACATACATGTTAAGTGCAGCCTTAGTGACACGTGCCACATGGCGTGATTATACAAGGCGTGATAAGAGGATACCTCAGGTGACGTTTCAACAGGCACATTCCCTCGGAATTTCTCCAACATTCGCTCGAAGAAATTCCGCTCTTTTTCTGTTATTTTTTTCACTACTCTCACAAAAAGAGACTGTTTCGATTCAGCTTGTCTTCTACAACGTCGATCTTCTGCTTCCGATCGTGCCGAACTGAGTATGGACTCCATCTATATATAAATAGCACACACTAAAAGCACACAGCAAGGTAAGCAATATCATTCCGGGCGACATGCTGCTAAAAGCTCAGCTGAACACGAAAATTCAAGGCTGTGAGAATGATATGTTTATGATGTGTTTGATTGTTAAATAAAAAAGTAAATTGAATATTGAGAATCAAACTTCGATATCTTAATATTCCCTTAACAATTGTTTAAGGTAAGTCTGCATGTTCAGAATTTTGCTGCATTCCTCAATTGAGTCACATGTTATTTTTCAAATATGAATCACTCCTTCCCCACATTGCTACATCTTTCAGTTTTGCACAAAGTGTGCACTAATGTGCCTAGAAAATACTGGTGAGAAGATTTGTTTTGTAAAATGTATAAAAAACGAGAAAATTCAGTGACAAGGGTCAATTTTCTCAACGATTTTTCTCACTTTTTAAACATTTTACAAAAAACTTCTTTAAAGTCTTTTCTAATGTGGAGAAGTAAGGAGTGATTCCTATTTGAAAAAAAACCATGTGATTCTATTGAGGATTACAGCAAAATTCGGAACATTCAGAACTACCATAAAGGATTCCAAATATATCGGGTGTCCCAAAAAAATGAGACACTTTTTGCCAAGTATTTTCTGGGCAACTGATGAACCAAATCTTTTGAAAATTTGTACAAATTAGCCCAGGAGTATCGTTAGCAAGTTACAGAAATATGACAAAGATCAGATACATGTTATGTGAGTACTAAGAAATTCAAGATAGCATGTCAAAATGTCCCATACCGGAGCAATACAATGAGAATTTTCATCGCGTTTGTACCAAAAATGGGAAGGAATTTGACAAGTGATTTCTCAGCGATAGATGAGCCAAATTATTTGAAAACTTTATTTGAGGCACTTTAGGGTATCTTCTGTTCGTGCTATGAAAACGTAAGATATTGGCCTAATATTATCTGTGTATTGTTGAATTAAAGACAGTATGTAATAATAACCAATATCGATGTAAATCTCACTTATTAATTCTTTTCATGCAAAATACCTTTCCATGTTTATTCTAACAATATCACATCCAATGAATTTTGAGAATGAATGGATTTTGGATATTTGGGAAGAATGAAATGAAATAAGTAGACATGACACACAGACAAGCTATTTTGACTTATTAACAAATGCTGTCACCTGATAGCTGGTACACACACTATAGAGGTCTCATCGCAGAGCTCCGGTATGGGGATTTTTGACATGCTATTTTGAATCGCTTATTACCCTCAGAATATTTACTTGATCTTTTTTATATTTGTACAACTTGCTAATGATACTCTCAGGCTAATTTGTACAAATTCTCAGTAAATTTGGTTTATTAGTTGCCGAGAAAATACTTGGCAAAAAGTGTCTCATTTTTTTTGGGACACCCGATATGTATACAAAAAAGAACGAAGAGGAACACACTATTCTACAATTGAAAATGGAGGAAGGTAAGGTTTCGATATCGAAAATAAAATAGAAACATGGGATGAAAAATATCCAAGGGCCAAGGGTTCTGTTGCCATGGTGATAAATAATAAATAGGCTTGTGATTAAATAAAAAGAGAAAAGAGGTGATCTTGTTTTAAATTACTCGTATACTAATGTATGATACATGTATAGTAATATATCACAATGGAAGAACAATGCTGTTGTCAGCTTACATTCTGCACAGTTATATACCGTAAAATAAGAAAAGTGGAACACCTCTGAAAGTGGAACACTCCTGAAAGTGGAACACCTCTGAAAGAGGAACACTTCATTAAGTGCAATAACTTTTTTTGAGATACCTAAGGACTTTCACATGTTTTACAATACTTTCTAACAACGATAGCGACAGTGGTGGCATTGTGATATATTGCGAGAATAAAGGTTTTCGTGAAACAGGCATGAATACAAACTGACATCAAAACAAGCACAGAAATATTGTCTTATTAACTGACATAAATACAAGCATAAACTGACATAAAAATAAGCATAAACTGACATGAATACAGACCTAAACTGACATTAATGTAGACAAAATCTGCATCAACACAAGCAAATATTGACATCAAAATAAGCATAGACTGATATTGTGGGTTATTTAATTGACATAAATATAAGCTTTAACTGACATCAAAATAGACATAACCTGACATTCATACTTGAGGGATTGACACAGCATCCTTAACAGTCACTTGTACTGCAAAAGTATTACAGGGTGTCTATAAAGTATCTTTATATTTAATTAATCAAAACACAGAATGAAACCCTGTGCTAAAGGCTGTTGTGAAAAAGTCAGTCCACCCCAGTGGGGATCGAAATAGACTCGAAAAATATTTCATAGACACCCTGTTTATCTAGATGAACAGAATTCCAAATTCTATTTCTACAAGCAATTTAATTGATTCCCAATGATCCCTATATTCTGATTAAACTGGCTTTTTCACTTATTCCATATTATTTCAAGGTTCATATATTCAATGGAACTTCAACTATAGGTCACAACCCAACCTAGAGAAACAAAAAAGTTCTAGATTAAAAAATAAACAACTTACAAAAAGTATTTAATTGTATAAATGTGTTAAATGATGCATTCAATACTCTGGGTCCAAAAATATCCCGTGGATAAAATATCAGCCAGTCAGACTTTCTTATGTAGAGTAGAGTAAAAGATTGTCAACTATGGGACCTTAATAAATCAATCTTGGGACCTTAGAGATTGAGAAATCAAACTGCACCACACACATTGGACATTGTCTCAACTGTTTAAGAAAACTGAATTCTGCAACTCATCAGGGGCGTAGCCAGCTTTCAGTCAGGGGGGGGAGGGGGTGCGATCGCCCAAAAAAAATTTGGTTTTCAGTCAGGGGGGGGGTGCGATTGTGCCATAAACAAGCCAAAAATAAGATTTATTTTGAATTTTACAAAAATTGATGCAACTTCCTTCAAAATTGAGATAGAAGCTTCTTCTGCTTTCTCATGGGGGGTCCCCCTGGCTACGCCTATGCTCATTTAGTTAGGTGGAAAAAAAATACAAGTGACAAAACCTGAAAAGGTTACACTTTCAATTTTTTTTTAGAAAGGATGGCTTATTATCTATAGGTAGTCAGGTAATATAAATAAATAAAATGTGTGTAGAATTTAGTTTCAAACTTTTGAGACAGCCTACAACTCATTGCTAGTAAGCTTAAGCCACATATCCTGCAAGGAAAAAGATAGTGACTGTCAATGAGTGTATATAGAATTGTGGGTATCAGCCTACAGTGGTAGCAGTAAGACTTTTGCATCATCTTGCATTGTGGGTAAGAGAGCCTCTTCTGTGTCTGATGCATTGTGGGTTATCCTTATGTTTTGTGAGAGGAGAATATGTGTCAATGTGTTTAATTGTTTTCACAAGTGCTATTGGTTAGATTTGGTGTTAATCCATCAAGACAATGGTGATAATAGTAAGTAATACAAAGTACATGTTAAGTTAAAGTTTTCATTTTTTAGATGTCAATCTCTCAAAACCTTTTAATAATATTGAACAAGTTTGTCGCTTCTTTTAAGTTACATTTGTCATTTCTTAGATGTCAATCTCTCACAACTTTTTAGTTATATTAAACAAGTTTGTCGCTTCTTTTAAGTCAATTTTGTCATTCCTTATGAGTTAATCCCTTTAATCATGTTCCTTCAAAATCTTTTAGAAACTGAACGTTCAAGCAACACCTAGTATGAGTCACATCATAAAAGAACTTCAAGAGAGAACTTGACGAAGATCAGAATGGGACTAGACAGACAATAACTAGATCTTTGGGAGCAGGCTGAACCAAAACCACAGGACTCATTTAGATTTTATAAGCATAACAATGGTCAAATAGAAAATGGATCAAAATACAATGGAGATAAAGTACAAAGGGGATTTTGGATGTGTAAAATAAGGAAGATAAAATGGTCGGAAGAAAATAGAAAATAACATAAGGAACCTTACATTTTAGGTAAATCAGTATTCAGGGTTATATAAGAAACAAGAAAGCATAAATGTTAGAAATTGTTTCAAATAAAAAAATTAGAAACTAATTAACAAATATATATGGTATAAAATAGTGAAAATATGTAAGAAAGTGTGATGAAGTAATGTCATATAGACAATGTGTTAAAATGTAAGAAATCGTGTCTTTTATAAGTGTAATAGTGTAAGCGACATAAAGTAAAGTGGCAGCTTATATACATTTATATATAAAGTACAACATATAACTTTTCAAAGAAATAATAATAAACAACTGTAAAATATGAACAATATAATATATGAATAAACAGCGAACATGAACCTCATGCACCGGTAAAATCGTTATCCAACTCACGATAGGAGTAAAGAAGTATTTTCTGGGTGTTTTCGATCGTTTCTTGTCTAGTTCAGATGTACGCACGTGGTTCATCACCTGTGTAAGCTATTAATAAAATCAATTTAAATTAATCCCATTAATTTTTTAAAATATTGCATTAGTTCACATTTATTCTACACAATGTTAGTAATGTGACATGATATGTGACAATTAAGAGTTCATTTGCACGATGACAACATGAATATGTTTAATTTTACAAACCAAACATCAACATTGACATATATACATGATACAATATTAAACCTGAAATCTAATAAGCTTAAGAATGTGATCAAAATTTTCTAAAAACTAAAACAGACTTCTTAAAGTAATAAAAATAGATTTTCTAAACTGCTTGCTACTTTCAAATGTCTTCTAATTTTTGAACTCTATAAGAACTATGGTATGATACTCTGCCATTCTGTTCAAACTTTTCCATCGGATCTTGGTCAAAATGGCAGATTCATATCCCAGAAATTGCAGTTTCCAAAGATTTAAGCTTTCAATAGATTTATTTTTGGGCATTCTTGCATTTACAGAAATTGAGAACAGAACATGTCCTTTCAATTCAAATTTTGAAATTTTCTTGATTCTTGACACAAGAGAATCATTTTAATTTCCATAACATAGCCCATCTATTTTATTATTCCAAATTCAAATTCTATTTTATATAACACAATCTTCGTGAAATTTCATGCCGGTTCAAACCCAAAATTTGAATTGATTGAATTCATGTACTATACAAGTATGCCATCTATATCTGGAAATCATACTTACCACCATGAATTCTTTTTTGTCGACTTTCTCATTGCCGTCTGTATCGAACATGTTGAACGCTATCCTGAACCCAGAGTGAGGCTCTACAAATATAATTTTTGTTTTTCTTAATGCAAAAAGATTGAATTTAGTAGATGTACCAATTTAAAGAAATAAATGAATTTGTTGGAAAAGGCCAAAGTAAGGGAGTAATAGGACCTCTTAGGGGGGGGGGGGGGGGGTTGTATGTCTATTTGTTTGTATATTTCATTACATATACATCATATTAAACATATTTAAATTATATTATAATTAAATAAGAATATTCTGATCATCTTACGTTTGCATAACATTAATGTAGTAAGTTCCCCAATTATTTTTTATGATTCTACTTCTAAATATTTTGGCAAAATATAATTCTCATCTTTGAATATTCCGAATTATGCACATTTTGGCATATCATATTTCTACTTAACCAATCAATTGCTCTATCTGTTCCTCATATCGCAAACTTAATTAACATGGAATGTGTTTTGACTTTTGATGCACTTTGTGCATTTATAATGCATCAATACAGTGAACATTGCAAATTGGGCATTTTTGTCACTAGCCCAGTTCACTTACAAATTCCTTTGTTTGTATTCGAACAGAAAATTTGGGCAGGCGTCAAGTCCGACCTTCCACATAATAATCACTGATTCAAAATTCTCGGGATTTCACTTGAAATCTCTCCAAGTATTAAATATATTTCAAAAAACTGTATTAATATATAATTCGAGGTGAGCACTAAATACTAGTTTATTCTTCATTTTTGTAATTTCACTTTCAGCATATCCTTCGTGAAAAACTAACGAGGACCATTTAAAATTTTCATATGGGCATACCATCTTCACTTTTGTGTTTTTACCAATTCGATTACAGGCTTTCAAATCTTTCTTTAGAAACCACGCTAGTAGGTCGGAGTGATATAAATTTAATCGTAGGTTACATTTTCAGTACAACATTTTTTGAATTGTGAATCGGACCATCATCCATGAAATCATTTCTAATTGAGCGGAAAAAGAATACATATTTTGTATACATCAACAGACATTTTGTAAAGTATACACAGCAATTTTCTTGTCATTCTCAAGTGTCTCTTTGTAGTTTTGAAATTTTCCTCCAGATGGCTCTTGTATAAACTGGACAAAGGAGGTACTTTACCAATAATGCACATGACAATTATGACCAATGATGAACGTGCATTTTAAAGTAGGTAATAAATAGGGAATCTGGGAAATTACTTTTTTCATTGAGATACAAAACTACTGAAGGAATTTCCCAGGATTCAAGGCAAAACACATGACTTGAAATGTGATATAATCCATAATAAACATTAATAAAAAACAAGACATATTCACAATGATCCAGGTAAAAAGATGCGCAATAGATTCAGATAGATTCATAAACTCTTATAACATTGGTTATTTTATGGGAGTAACATTTTGAATAATTCCAAGGATTTCTGCGTGAAACTAAAGGTATAATAAAGCTAATTATGACACCTATCAAACAAATAAACAAACAAACAAACAACAAAACATACAAGCAAACAAATTGATCTTTAAACAGCTCGGATAATAGTACAATAACATGAAGTTGAGGGACCGATCACTTTTGACAACTGGTACTTAGGCCTTTATCTCATATAATACCTGAAACTTATAAAACAACAGGCTTCTGAAAACTGCCAATTTATATGATCGAATCCAAGCAAGGATAAAGCATTCCCATAATACTTTGCCTACTACTCTGGTTATCCAGGTAATGCACTGATATGAATCATGTGACCTGAGGAACTATGGGAGGGCACCCCCTGTGTAAATAAGTGATGTATCATATGCATTAGATGACCACACAATCTAGGGGCCAAAAAGCTCTAACTGTGATCTTGTTTGTAAAAATACATATTGGTACGGTAGGTGATCCAAATATACATGTAACAAAAAAATTATAGGATTTTCACCTGTCAAAAAGGTAGAAAATTATCAATAATAGTATAATACAGATCACCATGGGAAACCAATATGAAAAATCAACTCCTCAAAAATGTCAAAAACTTGTCAAAGAAGCCTAATTTTTCAATCATTTGAAGATTTTCAATTGGGCACAAGACAATTTTTGAATTAACAACTGGGTACAGTTGATTGCTCCATTATGCTAATCAGACTACCACAGTTTGAAAGCTGACTAAGGGACTAGGACCGCAATAATTTGGCCAAACAAAATCCAAATCTGTGAAGTTTGGTCAGATTACATAAATATATTGCAACTGACAAATAAAAGCTAAAAAGTAGAATGCATTAATATTGCTAGAAATATAGTTTATCCGTACAGGCAGATGTCCATACAATTATTTTTTCTATAAAAGCATATTAAATGATTTTCACTTTTTGTGTTTTTAATTAAGTAATAACTGAGTCACAAACACTAGATTAACAAAACTGGATTAACATTTTTCAAGTTATATATTTTTCTCATAAAACAATGAGAACTTGATGACCTTAACTATGTAAGAGTACATTATAATTCTATCAATTTATGATGTGAAACAAAATAAAATATGTATTTGCTAGAGGGTCTACCCCTCAAAACGGATATGATCGATTAATATATCCTGAGAAAATCACAGTGGTATTTTTCTTATTATATGCCCAGAGAAATTCTTTTATTACTTCCTTCTTTTCAAATTCCTGAAATTTTTTGCGAAATAAAAATTTACCCCAAACGAGTGACCTCTGACCCCCTCCCACTAATATAACTATTAGTATGATTTTTAAAAATCCAAAATCAGTATATTGACGGATTCCCGAGGCACCTTAAACATTACTTTTTCCTGACAACCCATAGACTGGTTTCTCACAGTATTAACAATTTCATACATTTAATTAAATAAATAAATTAATCATATAAGTATATAATTTCAGCAAATCAATCATTGATGTAATCTAAATATCTTTTGGTTAAATATTATACTTTACTATAGAAAATGATATAAGCGAGTTCATATTCGCACCATTTAATCTGGTCCCATTGTTTCTGGTCTGTCAATTTGAATTGTTAATGCTATGTTTGAGACAGATATTTTGGCTCTAAACAAACTGATATAGATAAGATACAAAATAGTGAGAATTTGAATGTAATTTCCAAGGAATAAAATAACAAAATAGCAAGGTGCAAAATGTTACCACCTGCCATTTGTTACAGACACTGACCACCATATACCAACCACTGAACACCAACCACCAAACACTGTCAAAATGTTGGAGACTATAACAATATGTCACCAATTGTCATGGTGGTATAAGAAAGGCTTTCCAAATCCAAATGAAGTAAATAAACAAGTAAATAAATACCAGAGAAACCAAGAAGAATTTATTATATATAGCATTTGTATAACCAAAATATTGCAACTAATTTCAAAGTTAAAATAGAGATTTAAGAGTAGCTGTATCAAAAATTCACATCAAATAAATCCACATCCGGATCGCGATAAAACACTGAATTTCCCTGTTCCCACTACAAAATTATAAAATTGTATGCCTTTGTAGGTGGCCATGTTGGAGTATTATGATAACTTTATATTTGATAGGTTCATATTCAAACACTACTTGACATCATTTCATTTAAATTATTTCTCAAGAATTCAAATTGCTTAAATTCTTGAACTTCAGTTGGGGTTAGATACAAACACTTCCAAGAGCATATACACAAAAAGTATATTTTTCTAGTTTGGAACACAAATAGGCCACCATGAAATTTTATATAACCATAATATTTTTCCACTTTAGTTACAAGCGGGGTAATATCCTTGATATTTACCCAAATCTGGGTGCGAACGGATTAAGATAAAGATCGCATAAAAATATATTTTGCTAGCATCAAAATATAAAAATGACTTCAACTAGAAAGATTTGATACCTATGCCAACGGGATGTACAGTATACTATGCCCAATATTAGAGTACATTATGCACAAATCAGAGTTGATATCCACCAGTTGGACAACTCTCTATTCTTATTGTGCAATGTGATATTATTTTTAGATTTAACATAAAGGTTAATGAGATGTTTTGAAAAAGTAAAGGAAATAAGTTAAATGAGTTATGACAATTTGTGTTGCTTTCCATACTTTTCCAATGGCAATAAGACTTGCTACTCCTTTTTATAATACAGTAATACACTGGAACACTTCTAGAAGTAGAACACCTCTGTTAGTGGAATACTTCCCAGGGTCCCAAGACCAACTGAATTTATGTTAAATGAACACCTTTAAGTAGAACACCTTGCAAGTAGAACAATTTCTAGATGTACAAAAGGTGTTCCACTTAGATTAAAGTTAAATTGTAATAGGTCTCTTTAAAGTACATATTTTTTGGAACATATAAATTAAGACCTAGAAAAATTCCCCAGAGTAGCAAATCCAAAATAGTATAGAACAAAACAGAACATATTTTAGCAAACCACTTACTTGTAAGTACACATAGCAGGAACAGGTACTCTGTATACGATATGATTCCTGAAAATACACAAAATAAAATTTCATGAAAATAAGCAACTTTATCGTTCAGTTATAAGTCTTATATAATATATATTTACTGTTTTAAGACCCTCATAGCTTTATCCCTTGTATCGTAATAATAATTGTTTCTGTATAAAATTCCAAAATCGTATATGATCATTTTTGGAACCTTATATACCATATATTTCGATGGCTCTTAATACCTTTTGCTTTGAACGCTCTTGCTATGTTTTTGAGGCTGATAGGATCTCTATAAAGCCCATCTTATTGCATAGCTTGTCGATGTATGAAGATTGTTATATGAAAGTAATATAATACAAAATGAATGATACAATGGAAATAATGGTTTTCTATGCATATTAAGTATGAAAATGCAGAACTATCAAGTTTTATTCCTGCATATTAAATATATATGTTTGACCCTGTTTTATGAAAATAAGTGCCTTTAAGATTCCTTAATATAAATAATGCAATATGCTTGACCCTGTTTTATGAAAATAAGTGCCTTTAAGATTCCCTTTTTAATGAGGGAATATGTATGACCATGTTTTATGAAAATAAGTGCCTTTAAGCTCATAATTTACATGTATGATATCATTTTCATATCAAAAGACCTCTGAAGATCGAGTTCTTTATCATAGCATTAGGTAATGTAAAGATTTTTGCAGATTCCGTAACAAAAATCAACAACAAATATTATGGCTATACTAGATAATAAGAATTCAATTTATAATTGATACAATCAGCCCATACAAACAATATACTCATTATTAACGATTATGTTTTTACAATATTCTGAGCTGACAATTTGCAAGGGTACGGTATCCCCGTGTTATCTCTAAAGAGCTTGTGTCGACCAATTTAACCCGCAATTTGCACGATGGGGCGACTGATAAAAGAGAATTCTGACGTCATGATTTTTAGTTCCAACGTCTTTGATTCTTATCATGTTCTTGAAATGCCTGTCTGTTTACATTTATTTCAACCATTATATCTCTTTAAGTTTCAAGAATTGACTGCATGACTTCTTGGATTTACACAAATGAGAGTACTGAATATATACTGACTCCTTGCTAATTCCACTATTTTCCACTCTATTTTATGTTTTGAGACATGTGACCACCTAATACTTTCTAGACAGGTATTCTTCAATGATTTTTATTACTAGCGATATGTTTGAAAATAACAGCCAATCAAAAAGCAGAATCAGCTCCACCTTTGGCATGATCCAAATGATTTTACTCAACTCAAATTATATACCCTGAAAACCAGTCACTTCTTGTGAATCCTTTACTTTTATACATTAAAGTGCCTGTAAAATATGATCTATTTGATAAACTAGGAGTGAACATTTTCTTAATAACTTCATCAAAAGATTGCAATATTCTCATAAATAAGAGGTGAAGGTACCTCATATATTGTAATTATTCTTGTCTGGTTCTGTAAAGTACATCTCCATTTTTCTGACCAATTGCAAGGCAAAATTATATGGCCAGTCTTTGATGTTTTCTTCAAGGTTACTTGGGTTGAACAATGTTTATGCAGTTTTATATAGATTATATATACTGAAGGTAGAAGCGGAAACATGGAGTCTGAAAATCAAGTCATTTTATTCAATAGGAATATGTTGTTTGGAAATCATGTCATTTTATTCAACAGGAATATGAAGTTCATTTCATTCAATCAGAATGTGAAGTCAGAAAATCATGTCATCAGAATATGTAGTCTGAAAATCATGTCATTTTATTCAACAGGAATATGAAGTCTGAAAATATGTCATTTCATTGTATTCAATCAGAATGTGAAGTCAGAATATCATGACATTTTATTCAACAGGAATATGGAGTTCATTTCATTCAATCAGAATGTGTAGTCATAAAATCATGTCATTTTATTCAAGTGTAGTCTGGAAATCATATCATTTTATTCGATCAGAATGCGTAGTCTGAAAATCATGTCATTTCATTTCATTTTTTATTCAATCAGAATGTGAATTCAGAATATCATGACATTTTATTCAACAGGAATATGGAGTCTGAAAAGTATGTCATTTTATTTTATTTCATTTTATTAGAATGTGTAGTTTGAAAATCATACAATTTCATTTTATGAGAATATGTAGTCTGAAAATCATGTCATTTTATCAGAATGTGTATTCTAAAAAAATCAACTTTAATTCTATCAGAATGTCTAGTCTGAAGATCGTTTTATTCAATAAGAATGTATCATCTGAAATAATGTCATTTTTTCAATCTGAATATGTGAAAATCTTGTCATGATCTCATGTTATTTTATTGATTCAATAAGAATGTATCATGTGAAATAATGTCAGAATATGTGAAAATCTTGTCATGATCTCATGTTATTTTATTGAAATAGAAGAAGGGTATATTTCCATACTTAGGTGCCATTTAAACATATTGTGATCGGCTGGTTTTATTGAGTAATTTGGAAATAAGTCATCTGCAGCATGTAGAACGCAATCATAAAGTCAAGTGTTAAGTGGGAAGATTATGAATTCAAACTTCTAAACAATTTGTTTCATTGGAAAAAAACAGATGTTGATGTATTTGTGAAGTATAATGTAGGCATTTAGAACACCTAAAACCTACGCATTGTTCCGACAACTTGAAATAGCCCAGAAATCATTCTGTGAAAAGTGGAACTGATATCAGCGGCCCACGTATAGAGTATTGACCAATGAAAACCAACTTCCTGATACTGATCTACATAACTTCTTACAAATTACTTAACGCTTCCTACTATCATTACGATTGTTGGAAATTGTGTCAAAACCTTTAAGAAGTCTTTCAAGTATAACAGATTATATCCGAACACCCACATAATATCACCCGATTTTTCTTATCTTTTTTATTTTTTATTTATACCATAATCAGGAAAAAATAAAAATGAATATCTAGCAGCATTTCAAAATACATTCTATGTCAAGAAATATCGAGAAGGGGCAAGTTTGTTTTCTGAGGTCAGAACAATTTACAGGGGTCAAGGCCATCTAAAGTGGTCAGGAGTGTGTATTTGGGTCTTGAGAGCTCTATATTAACAGAGATCAGGGGTGTTTTAAGAGGTTATGGGTGCTAACAGAAATTACGGGTGTTTATAAAGGTCAGGGCTGTATATACAGATCACGGGTGTTAATAGAGACCAGGGGTGTTTAATGGCCAGGGGTGCTTATATAGATTGGGGTGCCAGTAGAGATCAGGGGTGTTAATTGAGATCAGGGGTATTTATACAGATCAGGGGTGTTTGTAGAGGCTGGTTTATTTACAATGGTCAGGGGTATTTATAGAGAGATATAGAGAGTGTGTTAATTGGGGTTTGGATTATGCATGTCTTTTGCAAGTAAGCAACAACGTAATGTTACTAAGTAGACCTTTGATGAGTTACCACGCAGACTTACCCAATATCCGGGATATCCTCATAATCTATTTACATAATATGTTAAACATAGAATCTGTTGCTTCTGTTTTGGATCTTGTATTTTAGTAAACAACCTACCCACATGCTACATGATGCATATGTATAAACTTATCTATTATCAAAAATAAGAAAGCGGTACTTTTTATGTCATGGTCTTCAAATGTTTTAGTGGATGCTGTTCAGCAGTTGGTGTTTGGTGGTCAGCATCGGTGGTTGGCACCTGTAGCAAATGGCAGGTGGTGACATTTTGTATGTTAATGTCTTGTAATATATTTGTATTTATATCTAAGTATCTTTCCCATTTTGGTTCATTCTAATTCCTCACTCATTTCTTCATATTTTGTACTCAAGTGTAAAAAAGATATTAATGAGTAATGAATACAAGACATTAATTGATGGAAGAAGACACGTTTGCGTGGGAGGATTGTAGCCCTTGAATTTGAAGGCTGGAAACTGAACCACCTGTGAAACAATTACCGGCTGATGTTTTGGAGCCACAAGAGAACTAGGGAAATGAGAATGACAGAATGACAGGTCAAACAGATATAAAGAATAATATACATAAAATGGTAGATCAACATGCAGACAGACGCCAACCCACTCCCTGGTCAGAAAGTGTGTTTTTCAAAAAATGATCCCCGTTTAGAGATGGACTTTAGATAAATGTTTTGAACTAGCCCCTAAGACTAACATAGCACTTTGCACATCTGAGTTTGATGTTTTGAAATCGACATCGGAGATGCTGGAAATCTCCACTTTAAGCCTCTTAACACCAGTCATTTTCAGTGGTACTTTCAAGGTTATATCAGTGCAAATCAAGAAATATCTAAATTTTGTTGGTGTCAAAACAAGTTGATTTTTTCTACACAACCAGTGAGTATATCTTTATAGTAATCGATATCATTGGATGAGGAATATTCAAAAACATTTTTTCTTGAAAATCAAAATCTAATTCTGGCATTTTCACAATGCAAATCATCTATATTATGACTGCTATATTTAATTCGACTACATTCTACCTTTTCTCTTGCAATTGTTCTCTGAATTTGAAAACCTGGCTACTGCAACATTTTTGCAACAGATGAGATGTTCTTTCCAGACTCGGAGAACTTATATTTATATTGTTATCTGATGTTGGACTACTGCCAGAAATTGAGCAGTCATATAACACTAACTAGGTGCAAAGTAGGTGGCCAAAACAAGAACCTTTTCCCCAAAAAACTTCATCAGAAACGTATATAAACATACATGTACCTAACTTAAGAATTAATACAGCCTCCAAAAATTCAATATATGATCCTAAATTTTGAAATAAAGACAAGACAGAGGAGGTATAATTTTGAGCCGCATCTTGTATTGGAAGGAGATCAGAGAGTTGTTTTGTATGGATAAGTCTGATAAGATTCGGCAAAATGTGTAGGTGTTACCCTGGATGTACCTGGCTAAAACATTTTAACCTCATCTAATCTGTTCTTGTAGTTTCTCTATAAAACTTCAGACAATTGCCTGGTTCCCACCACTTCTATATACATAAGAGTGGGTACCAGGTTATCATCTAA